GCACTTCCTCCGCCATGAGTCATCGTCGGTGGCATTTGAGGGTGCGAAGATGAACCACTGCATCCACTGAAGGAAGCATTCCAATTGATTGAACACCTTCAGCTTTGCAAGGTATGGGGGAAATGTGAAGTGAAAGGCTCCCAGAAAGATGTTTCGTTGGCGTAGTAATTGGGTAGGACAAACAATCCACCCTGATGCCCATGCCTCGCTTTGACTTTATTACTAACATGCGAGATCACGCAACAACGGAATGCGACAAGTGGAGTAGGAGTTGGAGTTCTGGGTCAGAGATTGTGGGCCGAGAATTGCGGCTTTGAAGTCACAAGTGTGCAAACCTTGGCCATCATCCTCTGCCATTCCCCACGCAAAACTTTGCCCACCCTTCGACCACTTGGATCAATTCATCATCCACCTCCACTCTCCTCCTCTTCCTCTCCCACCATCAAAGGCAGGCGACAACACCCTCACACGACTCACTTTAGCGGTATGGGTGATTGCCGAAATTCGAACAGGCAAAATGCGACAAGGTGAATTTAAAGAGGAAAAAAATAGGGGAACTAAGTGGTGTCCATCAGAATCTCATCATCCACCTACGAATCCTCTTATGGCCTTGAGATAGTAGCAGTGAAATTAACATTCTCTATGTTGCTAACATTTGACCCTCTCTGTTCACCCCTTCCTTCCTACTTCCATCCGTCTGTCTGTCTGTCTGCCTGCCTGCCTTTCTGCCTTCCTGCCTGTCTGAGCATTCCACCACCTATCCTTCCCAACCAGTCTCACACTCTATTGAATGCTCTAGCTGGAATGCATTAAGTAGGTCTTCCTGCTACGGCCGATCACACCACACATGCATTTCGTTTTCCCCTGTGCCAGACCAACTCAGGAGTGGGTTACCACACGAGACCGAATACTCTCACATCGAATTAAGCACAGAATGATTGGCAGGAAGGCGGTTTGAAGGATTGGTGGATGGAAGGATTGCACACGGCTCCCACGCCGGCAGAGTTGATGCTCATCTCATCGCACCGAGTGCGGTTAGCACGTCGTGCCATGTATCTCTCAGAATAACACACAAGTGCGAAGGCAAGGGTGGAAACGGTAAAGCGAATGGATTGTTGTAGAGCGGTGGTTTGGATTTCTGTAAATAAATTCGCCCTTGTCAAAATTGGGTGCTCAGTACTTTGAGCATCACTCACCCACGTTTCTATCCATCATTCTAAATAGTCCTCCTTTTTACTCACCTTCCTCACATTCATCATTTTGGCATCACAGCATTTATCGGAACTTTCTCTAACTACCTAATTAAGTTTGCATTACGTCAGAACCAAATCTACTTTTAACGTTGATAAATACCATCACTGCATACCGTTAAGTCGACTTCAAGACGTCACTCACCACCTTTTATTACCATTCATACCTTCATCCATATTACGTTTTTTTTTTTGAAAAAATGCGCTGATAAAAATAATCCACAATCCAGTGTCTACAGTTGACCTGACGTCGTCGTTTGTTCCATCAATGCAACCATTTTCTTGCTTCTAGCAGACCACAAAAGTGGGTGTTTCCTACACTAAACCAAGACAAACGTGCCGACAGGAACAAACTTGTGTTGTTGGCACACCCGTGCGTCTCCCTCCCCCTCTCACCCACCTCTCACTCAATACGCAAGCTTTGTTGGTCCTGCAGTGGCACAAAATGTGCTGCAAACTGCATGGCTTTATGCCACGGTGTAAGGCCACCCAGCTAGTCCATGTGGATCAGCCGACTACAAAAAGCTTCAATTATCTTGTGGGCTTTGAAGTACTGAATAAATTTTGGGAAAAAAATAAGTACCTCATCAAGTACTACCCTACAATTTTACATGCGCATTTAAAGTTAAATCGCTCCAAAGTGAAAGATGCTTCAAAGACGATAAGATTCTCCTTGACACATTCTGACGCCTCTAATGCAGATTTTGGGCGTTGTAATTTTCAGACTTTATTCCCTCAGCTTTTATGGGTAGGTCTAAAATGTCTTACCAACTTGACCAAACAAAAAAAGAAATTCTTAGGTGGCAAGAAATTTGACACCTTAATTAAGGCTTAAAATGTAACTAAACAAGCAGTGCAAATCACACCTGAGTGAGCTTGACAACGTGGCATTACGGGGATGCAGCTATCTGGCTATCTAACCAGCTAGCCAGCTAGCCAGCCAGCCCTCTAATCAACCATCCAACCAACCAATGAGCCGATTGGTCTAGATAACCAATAGGATTACAGTAACAACGTGTCGCGTCGGTGCTATGATGCTTTCAAATTACGCGCTTTGATCATCAGCCAATGGCGATGCAGCAAGCAGCCACGCTCGATATGACGGGTTAAGGAGGCCACGTTTCGCATTTATTTGGTGCTGCTCCTGCAGCTACTGTTCTCGTTGCTGTTTTATTTGCCATTGTTAATGTTATAAAGGAGGGAGAAACCATGGCTGCATTTCAAGAGTTCTTTCATGCTATCGACAAGGATAATACAGGAACGATTACCATTGATGACCTGCGCAATTATATGCGTGAAAAGAAGTACAAGGCGGAATTCGTTACCAACTGGACTATGCTATTCGATCCCGATCATACTGGCCTTATCACCTTTGAGAAGTATTGCGAAGTGTTGGGCCTGAAACCCGATATACCTAAGACTCGAGAACATTCAGTTAAATCAGGTTCAGAGGGACAAAAACATCCTAGTCCTACAGAGACAAAGCCTTCCACTTCTATAGGTGTTGAGGAGGTGCAAATTTGCCAAGAATTAAAGCCGGAAGTGGAAGCTGAAAAGCCGGGACCCGATAATCTAGCTGAAAATCAAGAAAACACCGACTCCATTCGCCTAGGAGATGAGGAACTTATGTATGCGGAAAGCATGACGAATCCCAAGCAAACAAAAAGGGAGAAATCGAATTCAGAGCATGGAGAGGATTTAATTAAGCCGTCTGAACCTCAATCACGAAAACGCAAGCACCCCAAATCCCCCCCCAAAACAAACCCCATTGACATTGAATCTACACCATCAACTGTTGAATCTCAAGAGGCTGTTCCAGCCCAAGAGGCAAAAGATTCGGGAATGGATATCTTTGACTGGCTCAACACCACATCTCAGCAAGAAATCACGTTCGATGATGATGAACAGTTAGTGCAGTCAGGTGTTCCTTCTAAGGAGGATTCCGATTTCTTAGGAAATGCGTCTCCTTCGGGTGCGACTCCAACAAAACCTAAGGGTGAAGAATGTCACAAAGCGAAGACGGATGGTGTAGGAGAGGGCAACATCTCCACACCTCCGATTACTGAAGCAGAACACCCGAAAAAGAAGGAGGAGTCTAGTAAGCGTGGGAAGAAAACGTCGGAGTCGAATAAAGGTAGCAAAAAACGATCAGAATCGTCTAAGGTGAGTGAATCTGAGGTAGTGCCATCAGTAGAAAAAATTGAAGACTCGGTGATTCCAGACTTGGAAAACGTGAAACTAGAGGAGGAACCAAAGCATGAAGAGCGAACCTTAGAAGTGTCGGGGAGCGATGAGAATCTTGGCGTCTCGGAGGCGCCTTCAGGACTGGAGAGTAAAGACGCTGGTGGTGTTGAGGTCAATCTCAATCCTTCAAAGAAGGATGCACCTGAATGTGCTGAATCTCCTGATGGACGAAGAGGCCTAAAGAATACTGCCAAGAGTAAAGGCAATGGGAAAAAGAAACGTGAAAAGAAGGTTTCAGAATCTGGAGAATCAGTGCCGACCCATCCGACAGCTGATGAAAAGGAACTTAGTTTCACAATGGAAGAGCAGACTATTGGCATTCCTACAACTGATGAGACAAAGATGAAAGAGAGCGGTGATAAGGAGTCACTGAACCCCCTCAAAGCGAACG